TAACGACAAATGAAACAAGCAAGCACCAGAACATTTGCGGTAACAACAATTTTTTTAGTTGGCTAGTTGCATGACAATTTAATTGTATTAAAGGAAAATGCTAGATGTACTCCATTGCCTACTACACGGTTCACTTCCTGCTGACGTGGCGTGAGATTTGAAAATGGTCAACACAACAATATAAAAAAAAAGACAAAAACCCAATTAAAAGGCGCCTTTCTTCAAACCTCCGTCATTTTTCCCTATCCTCCGCAGTGAAGACGATCTCGGCGAAAATGGAGCCACCTGAAAACTCAGTCGACCTGGCCGGTGACTTGGACGACGGCGACCACACGTCAACGAACCTTTAATTTTCCCCCCACATGCTGACACCACGAAGTTAGCTGACGGAGATGAAGGGGAAGCCGGCCAGTCCCACTCCAACAAATGCGACGCTGGTAAGTTATCAACAACAACCATCACCACCTCCAGCCTACCCCACCCCACGTAACACCCAAGCCCCTCCAGTTAAACAGAGCACTTCACAACACATTCAACAATCAGCCCAATATACAAGTTAAGCTCCCCGCTCATGGCCATATAAGGACTATTAAATTGATAACTTACCCATGTAGTCGCCGGCGTCGCATTTATTGGAGTGGGACTGGCCGGCTTCCCCTTCATCCCCATCAGCTAACTTCACGGCGTCAGTGTGTGGGGGGAAAATTAAAGGGTTCGCCGACGTGTGGTCGCCGTCGTCCAAGTCGTTGGCCAGGCAGACTGAGTTTTCAGGTGGCTCCATTTTCGTCGGGATCGTCTTCACTGCGGAGGAGAGGGAAAAATGACGGAGGTTTGAAGAAAGGCGCCTTTTAATTGGGTTTTTGTCTTTTTTTTTTCCTGTGTTGACCATTTTCAAATCTCATGACACGTCAGCAGGAAATGAACAGTGTAGTAGGCAATGGAGTACGTCTAGCATTTTCCTTGCATTAAATGTCTTTAATCTTTATTCATTATAACACTTTTATATACTAGTCAACATTGAACGTGCGTTGCACGTTATTATAAAATACTTCATAAGTGCTGTAAAAATAGTATTTGAATATGCGTGAATGTTAATATATTTAGAATTAATACCATGGAATATATACCTGACAATTAATGTTAAATTATTTATTTAATTTTTAATTAAGAAAAATTGGATATTAATTAGCATACATGGACGTAAATAATGAAATGCGTTATTGAATGTAAAATTCTAATTAACTTATAATTAGAATTAGTAACATTGAAATCCATAAATGAAGAATTTTTTTTTAAATGAATGCGAATGCTAATTTATTGAGAAATGACGAAAGGGAATTCATACATTTATTAAAGCACACATATGAAATGAATCTGTCAAATGTACATTTACATTCATGATAACTAAATGGTAAGATAAATTAAATACTTATTGAAAAATGAAAAGTAATTTATTAATAAATAATTTAATTATAGACTATCGTAAGATTAAAATTGTCCAAAAAAATGATTATCACTTGATGTAATATTTAATTTCAATTAAGTAAAATTGGATGTTAATTAGAATACATGGACGTAGATAATAAAATGCATTCTTAATGTGAAATTCTAATTAACTTATAATTAGAATTAATACCACTGAAATGCATAAATGAAGATGAATATTAATTAAATGAATGTGAATATTAATTAATTGAAAATTAATAATAGGAAATTCATACATTAATGAAAATATACATGTGAAATGAATATATCAAATTTATATGTACATTGATGGTAATTAAATAAAATAAATACAACACATGTGAAATGAATCTGTCAAATATATATGTACATTAATGATAACTAAATGATTAAATAAATTAAATACATACTGAAAAATAAAAAGTAAGGCATTATTGAAATAATTGAATTATAGTACAATATAATTGTCCAAAAAATGATTATCACTTGATGTGAAATAACTTTTATCGACCATTCTTAATTTCAATATTTAATTAATTAGTACATCTCATAGGTTTTCACCCATAAACTCATTGGAGGGCATAAAATCACTTATTTGCCCATCATATTAAAAAAAATGATGCAAAGCGCGACAAAGTACTTTTTCCTCCATTTAATGCATGCAAAGAACATATTTATAGAAATCATTATAAAAGACAAGATATGCTGATTAATGCAAAGTTGAAGACAAGAATTTGACGAAAAAAGTTAGACACAAATGAGTAAAGACTGAAGACTTTGAGTAGATTAAAAATGTTAATCAAATAATAAAAATTATGGTGATAATATAATTATCCTAACATTTATTATTTTGTAATGCAACGGAAGTAGTAATACATTGTGGGACTCTGTGCTTGTTTGGATAAATTATAAGTTGCTAAATTAATAATGTAACAAAAATGAGTGATGGATAAGTGGATACTAATTGTGACTCTTATAAAATGTGATTAGAGTTAATATTTGATTTTCACCATTAAGTTAAGGAAGTTATAATGTTTCAAAAGTTCTCAATTTTTCTTTTTAGCAAATTATATTATTGTTGTCGCAGCCTAGTGATAAAGGCTTAGGGACTGTTTTCGTCGTGTTTCAGTTTTGAGTTTTTGTATTTTGAGTGTTCATTTTGATATTGTTAAAAATGTGTTTTTTTTTGTCATTTTGAAAAAATTATTTTCAAAAATGAAAACACCCAAAACTTGTTTTTGGGAGTGGTGGAGTGCGGTATTTTTGGGCTCGATGGCGTGCGGTGTTTTTGGGCGATGGCATGGTGGGCTTCTTCTGGTGCGGTGTTTTTGGGCAGTGGCGTCGTCGGCTTCTTCTGCTGTGGTGGTTTTGGACGGTGGCGTGGTGGGCTTCTTCTGCTGGGGTGTTTTGGGTGGTGGAGTCGCTGGCTTCTTCTGTTGTGGTGGCTGTAACGTCGCCGACGATGGGTGCGATGGTGTGACGGCGGAGGTGTGGTGCAGGTGGTGTGTGCAGACGGCAATGACGATGGTTGTTGGTGGCTTAACCGAAAACACTCAAAATGCGTTTTGAAAATTCTGACTTGGTTATAACTGAAAAAACTCAATTTGTCGTTTTGGGTTTTCTTTATAAATTTTTAACTTGTTTTCAAAAACGAGTTTTTGAAAATAGGAAAGTTTTGAAAAATCGAAAATAGAAAACAGCTTGAAAACAGTAAAGAGAACATGCTCTTATTTTCCCTATTTTGTCTGCAGTGGTTCAGATCGTCCTAGTCACAATCTTATTCTCTTTTCAAAAAAAAAATTGTGCAATTAGTCCCTAACCTTACTGCTTATGAAAAATTTGTCCCAATCTTTAGAATTGGAGTTTTTAGTAGTCTCGAACCTTAAGTTCAATTTACATTTCATATTTTTTACATAATTCTATTAACTTGAGCATTAAATTTTCCTTACACGAGATAGTACACAATCTAAATTTTCTATTAATTATGTTTGACACCTAACATAATCTTTTGAATCTAAACATTCATTTTCAATTCCACACTCTAATAAAGACCCTTTCCTTCCATTACACACAAATCTCATAAAAAAATTGGTTGAATGTCAGGCCATTTACGAACAAAGTTTTGCAAAATCTTTGTAGAATATGATCCTTGTAATGGTGGTTACTTTTTTAATTCAATTTTAATTAGCTCAAGAAAATTTGTGTTTTTCTTCACGTATTATTGGGAATAAATTTTTTATTTTATTTTCATATTTACGTAGATGGTAACTATGATTTTCATTCATTCTCTCAAAATTTCAATTATTCGGATTTTGTATAATTTGTTGATTCCCTTTTGTTGTTCTCTTCACTATTTTATTTTTATACGGTTAACCCAAAGTTGATTACTTTTATACTTTTTAACATAGTTTTTGAACAAAACATGTGCATTTTTCTTCCTTTTTGCCAGCTATACCGCTATGCCATCGATTCATGCCAACCATAATAGGCCCCCAAATAAAAATCCCGACTTCATCAGTGGTGTATATGCCATTTTTCTCTATCACATTTAAGGGTTTATCCCCTTGTACCGAAAAGGGGGTACCGAATTTTGTAGCCCCCTCACAAAAATGTGGCCCCCACATGTATTAAAAAAGTCGGCTCGTGGTCCCCAATTTACAGATTTAGATTCTTATGTTCTCATTCTTTTTATCCTATGTATATGCAAAATCTTTTGATTGGTTTATCCCCTTGTACCGAAAAGTGGGGTACCGAATTTTGTACCCCCCTCACAAAAAACGTGGCCCACGTGTATTAAAAAAGTAGGCTCGTGGTCCCCACCTTTTGGTGTGAGGGGGGTGTAAACAATTAGGTAAAATATGATGTACATGTAGCATAACCCCACATTTAATATGCTACTAAGTTGTTTGATGGCAGTTTTGTCTATCACATTTTTGTGAAATACAAAATTTGCTTATTCCGCAATAAATACCTCTTTACTTTGGTGCATATAAGAAAAGAGAAATGTATTGTTTAAAAAGGAAAGAATAAATTCTAAAGTGTCATATTTAAATATTTTTTAATATTCTTATGTTATATTATACTTCATTTCGAAATCTATAATTTTGGTAAACTCACGTCCCCACTAACGAAATTCCTAATTCCGCCCTTACGTATTACGATCTATAATGAGTTATCTAAACTTATCGCTTAAGAGTGAAAAAGTACTCAAGTTATAAACATAACCACTTATTTCTACGTTTATGCACGGGCAATCTAGATAGACTTATATCGAATACAATGTAACCTTGATGCATAATGCAAATTTTCATAACCTTACACAGTTCAACTATGACAGATGAAATTCAATCACATACGCTAATTTGATTAGCAAACTTTAAAAACCAATCTAAAATTTAACTAAAGATTTCAGATACAAATGAAATTTAAACAGTACAAAGTGGGTTGCTGGTTTCAATAAACTTCTAGTCAGTCCGAAGTGGTTAGTACATTATAAATTTATATTTAGAGCAAAAAAGGAGTTGTGTAACTATTAACTAATTGAAGTGCCTCTTGAAGAGCTCTTTCTTTGCTATGTTTGCCTTAGGACCATATTTTCGATCGTTCAAATTCCCTACATAGCTTTTACACGATTTCAACTTTTTGCCGTAAGAAATCCCTTTCTTTGCAAGGTCTTCAAGATTCATCACACTTGCCATAGATGCAAAACTCTGTGACTTACCCTGGTAATACTTCGATAGACCTCTCCTGCACACGTGCACAACATACATAAATATATATACCTATAAGTGCGAGTGCACACAAATATATTGCTAATAGGATTGTGCTACATGTACATAATTAAGTCCATTTCTGGGGTCAATTGATCATTTTCATGGAGAAAAAGGGAAGATAGTTGATATCTGAGTATTAACTAGAGTTGCTTTGTATGCAGCGAACAGTCTATGAAAAAAGAAACTACCATTTTATATTATTGACTTTCTTGTTACTTTGAACTAGAGCATCAAAAAGCTTACATGGGGAGAAATGGAGGCATCTTTTGACAGTTATCTATTTTGTCTATGTTATAAAAAGAAGCAAGTAGGAAACTCGACAACGGGGAGTTTATCTTGAGTATAGCATGTATCTAACTTACTTGATAGGAAGATAGGTCATGAGGTCGGATAATTCATAGAGAGGACCGTGTGAAGGCGATGAAGATGGTGATGACGATGTATCTTCAGCCCAGTCTGATGAGTCGGATTCCATGGATTCGGATTCAGAACTTTCACTTCCACCTTTCAAGATCTCCCTCTTGATGTGTGGCGATCCATTATTATCATTTTTCTGGAAGCCAACATCTTCATAAATTTGCTTAGATTCACCCATTAATTGCAAAGCTCAAACAATAACAACAACAAACTAAATCTTATTTTCAGTAACAACCAACAATGGCAATACTCAACCGAGCAGAAAAACACGGAAAAGGGCAGTGGAGAAAGCTATTTTTTTTATCATAAGATGAGAGACTTTGTACTTAGCCAGGCATCACTAGAGGAAGTATATATATATATACACATACGTGTATACTGATTTGCCTGTTTAATTAAATATATATTTAAGTTTCTGGTGAATATTATAAGGCTGTTAATGGAGGATTGGACGGTTTTGATAAACTTTTCTACTGTTTTCCACATGGTTGTTTATCCTTAGAATTGTCATTGTCATTTTCATGTGGTTTGAAATTCTTAGCCATGTCATTCTACTAGGAAAGAAGATAAGGTTAGATTTTGAAGACATCCATATCTGAGTCACCACAACTTGCACTTTGGGGAAACTAAGGTCATAATCTTAGGCATCTTTGTCCCCACAAAGTAATGACACAAATAACTTTTTGTTTGAACATCTCTAGGCATCTAAAGTGTAAAGATTATGCCAAAGGTCCATGTTTTCTGGCTTACTATGAATACTAATAAGTAAAGGTGTAAAATTATGTGGACACCACAGACCATATCCGGTCCTCTTGAAAATGTTACTTGTACGTTCAAATCCAGAGCAAGAATCCAAATGGGCCACCCAACCTGTTTTGAAAAATCTACTCATTACTCTTAAGAAGCAAATTTTAGGGTTTGCAAGTTGATGGAACAAATTTGGACGCCATAACCTATAAATTTGTTCTTTAAGTCATGTCCAATTCAATATATTAGCCTATGTTTGGCCCCCAATTTTCGAAAATTAATTTTTATTCAAATTTATTTTTAATCGCACATTTTATGGAACCCACAATTATGTTCAAATTTTCAACTGTATATTTCATCAAATTTTATCAAAAGGTACTACAATATATTTTTGGCTAAGCAAACAGGGCTAAATGTGCTTGAAAAATTTGGAGTTCCTTACATCTTTGTGTTGGGGAGTATCTTTGTTAAGCTTATCTCTTGGCTCGTTAATCAATGTCTAGTCCTTAAGTTTATCACTAATCTACATGCTTAAATTAATTGATTACACTAAGAAACTCAAACATCAATGAAAACAATTGCTCAAAAATCAATAAGAACTTTTAAAACTTCAATTTTTTTCCGTATGATATGTTGAATAGATAACTAAGATAAGGATCGTAAACCCAAATTTTTTTCTAGTTTTTAACTACATATTCTCCAAAAATTTACTGTTCAAAACATTGTTTTTGCCAAAAAAATGACCATCAAACGGGGCCTTAATTTAACTCGCGTGACAACTTTCAATAATATAGCTATTCTTTGTCATTCTTAAATTCAAGTTGTTTTCAATTTATCTTGCTCGACAGTGATTATGATCTTATGATTATGCCTTTTGTGTGGTGCTTTAAAATTTCGAATGGTCAGTCTTAGTTGCAAAAGCTTGTTTTCATTCTGAATTTTAAGTCCTTGGTTCTCATTAGCGGTGTAATTATGTATGTATGCTTTGCCAGTGGATCTCATTAGGGTGTTGTGTATGCTTTGTATTTGGTATGTGGGATGAGTTGTGAATCTTCCCTTCACATGAAAAAAAAAATGGGGGGTTGCTTTGTATCTGTGTACGATTTGTATAATTTTAGACGCATATAAAAAAAAAATAATAATAATAATAATAACTCAAAATTGGGCCAAAGCCCAGAAACGCAGGTCCAAAAAAATAGCACAATTTTGGGTCCCGGCCGAAACCGACTTTACCAGATCGATCCAACCAAACCATTTGGATTTCATTTTACCCGAGTTGGTTTGGACTTCAGGTTGGATCCAAAATCGACCACACCTAATTCTACTCCCATCCCATAGTACTATACATAATTTAAGTGAGGAGGAAGATTTGATATGTGGAAAAAAAAATCGAGCTTTAGTATTTTGGGTGACTTTTATCAACTTTTAATCTACACTAAACCGGTGGTCCTTGTGAGTTGAGAAGAACATTAGAATAAAATCTATGGGGGTGATTAAAAGTGTAGATTATCTGCTCCACATCAGCACGAGGATCAGGCTTATCAGTGACGGAACATGACAGAAATAGCTATAGACAATCAACTGAATTGATTCTTAGTTTTTGCCCAAAAAAAGCTGAAATCTCTTACAACAGCAGCAACTGATTTTTCTATTGGTGTTGCGCCTTCGCTACCCCCAATCGAATTTTTCTGTGGGTAATTAATCAGTCAGCATAGTTTACAAGCTTTAGCCGGCACACATGAAAAGCACCTTCTCCCCCAACGTTCACATTGCGTCTATCTTCCAAGCTTTTTCTACGAGTATTTCCTGGTGAATATGACATTAAAATCTTCAGAGACGAGTTCAAACAGCGATCACGAATTTATCAAATATTTTACGAGCCATGACATGAGCATTTGAAATTTGGAGGATTCTACAAGTACAAAATGAATTACAAAATCGCCAAATGGCGCCCCACTATTGGAGGGGCGCCTGTCCCATTTTGTACAAGATTTTGTACATCTAGAAAAGTCCTTGAAATTTAGTTTATGCTTGTGATTCTGACTCTTTGTAAGTTATTATTTAGGAATTCTGGCCGTGTCCGCTTTTCAACTTGTACTTTATTTATTCCCTTTGTTCTTACCAAAGCATACTCCCCGAGGGGTTTAAATAATTAAAAAAACATTTAATTTTTAATCATTTTCATAAGTTATATAAACAAAATCATGTGTACGAAAACAAATTCTTCTATTTATGAAAAAAAATTATTATTTTTCGAAAGAAAAACCAAAAACGAGGGCTAAGTGCAAAGTAGGCGCAAAACGCCTCGTCTCACACTTTTTCGTACTTTTTTTTTTCTTTTGTACCTAGTCGTGACTAGGTGTGCCTTTTTTACGTTTTTTTACGCTTTTTTATTTAATTATTAATTAAATATTTAAAATAATATTAAAATAAGAAAACTTTTTTTTTACGCCTAGGCCAAAGCTTGGTCTCCACTCTTCGCCATGCTTTACGCTTTTTAGAACATTGCTACAACATCTGATGCGACGAATCATATTTTATCAAGTCTTTTTGAATTCTTTTTCACAAAAACTTAAAAGGAAAAATTAGAAAAAAGTGCAAAATGTTCACAATCTTATTGTAGACAACGTAAGTAGGTACGTGAAACAATTGTCCTGTGTATAATATTTATAAATGCCTTTTGTGTGGATAAGTATACATTATATGATTAGAACTTCGTCAAAAGAGAATGGAACGTGTGGTGTGGATGAAGAAAGCAGCGTTAAGGCACCTTTAAATGCCTGAGAGAGACTCTTCTTTAATGACTGATGGAGCCTTAACCATTTTAAACCACAAAGCCTTCCTTCCAAGGCGCCCCTGGTTTGACCCGTGATTTAATCCTGGGACAACCAGCATTTTTGGTCTTTATTAGGTCTACATGTGGCTAGCTGTACAGTGTGGAGAAGTTGTAGTTCGTCGAAACACGAAGTTCATTTTAAATTATCAAGTTGCAGATGATTATTTACAACGATTCGAGAAAAGTTCTTTCACGATTGTAACTGGCAAAACATAAAAAGGATTGATAGCTAAGGGAAAATAGTTATTTACTATTAGCTGTGGTATGAATAGTTAATGAAACTTCAATAAAAGAAGTTGCCGTAGTACGATTTTTGTGTCTGATGTCCTAATTTAGTGACAAAGATTAAGATATTCCTTTACAATACATTCAGCAGAGTTTAACCATATAATTTAAAGCCTCTCCTCTGTGTGGTATTTTCAAGGGACAAGACTGGTACGCTCAAAAGTGAAGTCAATCGGTGGAACACCGTTACTATCAGATTCAGTCGGTAAAGAGAAAAAGAAAGAACATCTAGATATATCCCCCAAGTCTGAATCATTTTTGAAAAAAAAAAAAAATGAAGTGGGCTAAATCTGACATTCAACTGCAGGTACAATTGGGAAAATAAAAAGACTGCAACGTATCTAGTCCAGAGACGGAGAGCACAATGTCAAAGCTAAAAAATTATATCTCTTCGTGACACATTCATATGATTATACGCCAAGTGCAATATCTCTCTAACACGTGATAACTTAAACTTGCTACTCGAGAAAAAATTTGATAAAATTTTGCGGCTATTTTCCGGCAACTTTCGACCACCAAGACCGCCGGAATTTGATACCGTTGGAAAGCTCACAATGTCCTCTTCAATTACCACCAAAAATCTCCCCATAACTCCAAGGGGTTCGGCCGAAATATATCCAAGAAATCCGCTACCGAAAATCTGAAAATCTTCCCAGATTTTCAGATTTTTTGGGCAAGTTTGCCGCAATTTTTCGACAATTTCCGACCACCAATACCGTAAGCTTCGAATACCGTTGGAAAGCCCGCAATGTCCTCTTCAATTACCACAAAAAATTTCCACATAACTCCAAGGGATTCGACCGGAATAAATCTACGAAGTCAGCTACCAAAAAAATCTGAAAATCTGCCCAATTTGGGTAGCTGATTTCGTGGGTTTATTCCGGCCGAATCTATTAAAGTTATGGGGAGATTTTTCATGGTAATTGAATATGACATTGTGGGCTTTCCAATGGTATCCAAAATCGGCGGTATTGATGGTCAGAAGTTACTAAAAATTGTAACACACACTAACCGAAAAAATCTGAAAATCTGGGTAGATTTTCATATTTTTAGGTAGCCGACTTCGTGGATATATTTCAACCAAATCTCTAGGAGTTATAAGGAGCTTTTTGGTGGTAATTGAAGAGGATATTGTGGGCTTTCCAATGGTATCCAAATCCGACAGTCTTGGTGGTNAGAGGATATTGTGGGCTTTCCAATGGTATCCAAATCCGACAGTCTTGGTGGTCGAAGTTCCAGGAAAATCGTCGCAAAACTTGCCGAAAAAATCTGAAAATTCAGTGACCTTTTGTGAATGAAATTTAAACTTCAGTGACCATTTTTGCAAGTTTTAAACTTCAGTGACTGTTTTGTGATTTTCAGGTAACTTTAGTGACCATTTATGAAATTAACCCGTAAATATTTACATTTGGAGATTAAAAATAATAATAATATAAAATAAAATAGTGGTTGTGGTTGTGGTGTGAAAGAGTTTTTGTGTTAGTAAACGTAGGACCTGTAAGAAGGAACGAAAATTCAGGTACCAAGTTTTTTGAATACTTCAGGAAATTATAGCTATAGGGAATTAGATAGAAAAAATTAAAACAATTAAATTGAAATCTACAACGGTTTGAACTCAGAATTGCGAGCTTCTTTGATCATTAAACAAATACTTGAAATTGAAGACAAATTTTATGAGAAGTTTTGATAAATGAAAACTAAAAGAAAATTGACGGAGATTTCATGCATATGGCGTCGGAATATGCTTCTCCTATTAAAATTCATTTTTAGAGAGAGAGAAAGTAAGGGTTTGGAGTGAATCTATTGGAGGAGAGCTATTGAGAAGAGTAAAGAAAAATATAAGTTAGGGATAAGAGAGGTGGCTGTGCCGCCAGAAAGTAAAGAGCCGACAAATTTGGCGTCGGAGGGAGCAAAATTCGATGCTGCTCCAACTCAGACATGATCAATAATTTTTTTCTTCTGAGTTTTGCAATGATACCATGTAAAGATTTATACTTGGAGCTAAAAATAATTGATCAACCCGATTTTGATGCAAAATATTGATACATATACGATACAAATGCAAAGTAAGAACAATCGCGCTAGATTTATGTTTGTGTAACATAAATCCATTATAACTAATTTACAAGAACTTAATGTATACTAGGACTACGATGAAGGCCGTGTAGCTGCGTAGAACTTTATCTTTGACAAAACCATTATGAATTAATTGCTCAACTGGATAGGCCCTATTCGAATATTCGGAAAATTTTCTTGAATATAAATTTCATTTATGCCATATGTGGTAAGGCGATGGAGATTCCAAGGCAGCCATCCTCTTTTGTTGCTTCAAATTTTTATAGAACTTGTTAATGAACTCTTCTGCATCCTTGTCCACTTGGTGGTCATTCTCTTCTGCATCTTGTAATGGAAATGGCGAGTCAGTCACCCTCAATTGGCGAACTAATGGGCTGCATCCAAAACCTGGCAGCGTCGTCAATGGAGATGATTCAACCATTTCATAATGGTTTAAAATATCAAACACTGTTCGTGCCAAACGTTTTTCTTCTGCTACTTGGTAACGGCTTCGACGATGGAGAGGATTCTTGAGCTTGACAGGGGTATTGCTGCAGCTGAACTCGTATTCTCCGGGCGATATGAAAGACGTTAGAACGTCATCCGACCGGCAAGTGAAGGTGGAGTAGTTGTGGTGGAGCCTTAGGTTGCCTATGGCTTTGCTTGCTATTTTACCTCGTTTAAGCATCATGTGAAGATCAAACGTTAGTTTGCCCTTTGATATGCCTTTTCTCATTATGTAGAGAGCAGTTCTTATGATATGCCATAATTTCTTGTCTATTACTGCTGGTGGGCTTGGTTCAAACTCCATGCTTGTTCTTGTTTGAGAGAGAGAGAGAGAGAGAGAGAGATGATTGGAATGGACGAGAGAAATGAGAAGGCATTATGTATTTATAGGTCCCACTATAGAGAAGATTCAACAAAAAAGTCAGATTAAAAAGAATATTTTATTCTAAACCTACTATACAAGAGGGCATGTCTAAAGCTTCATCTATATCTCCATGAACATAACCAAATGAAATCTAGCAGAATCACGAGCTGAAAGAATATAAACTTAGGAGGGAGCATATGACCAAACCTCCAATCAATGGAAAATATATTATCATAATTTACCATGGTGCAAAAACTAGGAGCTAAAGATTACAAAATCATGTAACCTCATCATACGCGGTAATATTTGGTAGGCTCGTTGAAATATTTGTTTTCGCTAGAGTTAATTGGATTGTACGTGAGAAATTTTTGAGAATTATATTTTCAATGATTCACTAGTTCAAATGTGTCGATATTTGTTCGTAACCAAGCTCTCTCCACGAACATAACCAAATGAAATGCTAGCATTATCTCGATTTGAAAGAGTATAAACATGAGCCTTTGCTCGAAGAGTGTTGGAACCAGTCTCTTGTTGCCTATGTATTCGGTTTTCAATTGTGTTTCTCACTTTCTGAGTATCCTTACGAGTAGAAAAAACCATTAACGATCAGTAACCTTTGGATTTAGGGATGACAAGGTTCAAGATAAAGTATAGCTTAGTTTCTAAATAAATGTTTAATTATATCTTTCTTGAACTGTAAGTCAATATAAAAAAAAAATTGTTCCATTATGTAATTTTGTTGGGTTTAATTGGGTATTAAAATTTCTTCCTACATTTATTTTACATTTTTTTTCCTTCTCTTATCAAATTACTGGCGTATGTCAAAGCAATAATTTGTAATTAACAGCTTTACATGATTGATCCGTATAGTTTAACATTATTTGATTGCATAGTATGATTTGTGAATCAATCAACACTTGATATTGATCACAATTAATAGAAGCACGCTAAATGAAGCCACATGTAGTAGGCCACATTAGCACGCTTCCAACCACGTTTGAAGAATGTTCAATAGATGGATTAATTAAGAAATTTAAGTTCTAAATTATTGGTGGCCCAATTAAGATGTCGAAGAGAAGTTCTTATCGTGTCGTTCTCTTTATTTTAAATAAATTCTCATTAAATGCTTTCTTATCCCCGTTTGAACAAGTCGCTCAATTAATACTTTTCTTCCAATTTTGGGGAAGAGCTTGGCCACGTCGCACAACCATCACCTCTTCTTTGGTTCGAGCTTAGAATTTCAACATGCATATGAGGTCGTTTGCAACATGAATTGTCTGCTGTCATATTTGTCTATTCTACGACAACATCAAGGCCATAACACGTAGGTACACGTTGGAGAGGACATATGACACAAATTCTACTCGTGGCAAAATGCTATTTTTCTTGTAGTGCTTTATCCACTTGATGCTACCAAAAATCTTACATGCTGATTTTCGAGCTTGATGACTGAGAATAAGCACGAGTGAGATCTTTCAATACCTAAAATAAAAGCGTCGATGTGTGTCATCGTTGCTCCTCCGATGCTCAAATCAGATAGAGAATTTTCGAAAAGTTATGTGCTGAAAATTGTGTAAAAAATGTACCTTGATTATGAATTAGAATGATGTATTTATAGAGCTAGGTGGTACACTCCTAATAGGATTACAATGTTGAAATCCGTGGGAGTTCTTATGTGATTGGAAGTTGCAATTTAATTGGTTTTGTATTACCTATGTGTTTGGATAAAGATGAGACTCTGATGGTAAAATCATTTTAGGATAAAGTAACATATTAACAGCAGGATTCTATCTCCCTTAGGTTTGGATAAGCCCAAGTCAAGGGCTGCATGGTATGAGGTTTAGCCGTGATCTCGAGGAAGACCTATCGGGTCAAGAATAGGCAATCCCGAAGAGACGAGGTCGAGGAGGTCACGAGGCGTTGAGCCCAAATTGGAAAAATGCTCCTTGGGCCCCATGCTCGAGCTCCACCAATGTTGGGATCATCAGTGGCCCTCGTACATCCATGCCAGAGCCTCATACTCAAGATTTTGGGATGTGATGCACATGGTAATCATAACAGGAACGACAAACCTCGAGAGTAAGACTAAGCAACCTTGGAAATGGGACTGATCAGCCTTGAAAATGGATTGATCAGTCTTTGAAATGAGGCTGATCGGCCTTGGAAAAGGGGTTGATCAGCCTTTCAAATTGGACTGATCAACCTTGGAAAAGGGCTGATCAGCGTTTAAGGTTAGGCCAATTGTAATTCTAGATGTCTTTGCTGGCACATATATGTATGTAAGAACACAATATGAAGGTTGCATCTCCAATCAATTTAATTTTCTCAATTAAACATTACAAAAAGAGGATCGAGAAACACGAAACACTTTTCTGTGTCAATATTCATGATCAAATAAGTTGACATAATAATATTTTGTATCTTAACTTCGTGCTTGAATGCATTATGTCTGTGTAGAACTCATTAGCTAAAATTAATACAATGATAATCTAGTGCCACAGTTTAACTTTTCTATATGAAATTACTAGTCAAACTCAAACGCTCCCAATTAATTATGTTAATTAATTAGTAGGTATCTTATACCAAGATTTATTTAATTAACTTTCCATATTGATCCTGGAATTGTATACCAGAAACTCCATAGAGAGGCTATCAATTATAAAGGTTGAACCCCAAACTTGAGGGCCCCGCTCCTAGAGCATTGTGGAGCAGGTAAATCGCGAGATTTGTCTCAGCAGGCCAAGGTACAAGAGCTAGCATACTGATGTCCACAAAGAGTCAAATTTCATACCTTGTAAGGGCAGGAATCGAACCCTCACACTGCGGCTGCCAGCTCAGTTGAAACTACCTCATTCATGTCCTTTGCACCACTGAACTATGTCCCGGGGACTAAGTTTGATAATAGATCAACGAAAGAGACTGAAGGTCTTTTTAGTAAGAAATAAAATTCTACACTATAGTACGTGAACTCGTCTAGAGGTTGAGTTTCCTTTTTCACATACTCAAATGAAATTTTTTGCTCGACGGTTAGTACTTTTACTCAACTATACTGAGTTTTTCCAACATAAGCAACACTGGCATACATAATTCACTAGCGAGGATGTCATATGCTTCGTTAACTCATTGACATAAGGAGTCATTACTTGTTACGTCATCTTTCCGGTGCCACTTGTGTCCTTTTTTCTTTGATAAAAATAAAATGAAAATGAAGGCATCTGCAGCATCTGTTGAGCCCAATGAGTTGGTCCAAGCCCAAGTAAAATAGTTGGGAACAATACATAAATCGGATTTTTAAGTATCACCATTTCAAAATTAAGGAAAGAGGTTTTATATTTCAAAAATTAGATTTTCATTAAAATTTATTTAT